AACTTATCCTGGTTAAATAAGTTTATAGCCACTATAATAGTAGATCAGAAGCTATTAGAGCAGAACATAATTCATGAACAATCAAAATAATCTATATTTTTGCATTTAAAAGTTTTAACATTTGAATTTTATACTGGGAAAATGGACATGAATAATCTCAACTATTGGAGATCCGCTTAAAATAATCCAAATTGTCAATTATCTCAAAACAATCTCAACTATTGAAAAAAATATCAAAATACTCCAGTGACTTATAATAACCCCTTAATTGTTTATAATATTTACAGCCAATGGAGCATTTTGAGAAGTTTTTCAAAAGTTGGAATTATTTTGAGATATTTGATACTTGGGATTATTTTAAGTGGATCACCAATAGTTGGGATTATTCTTGTCCATTTTTCCTATAGTTTTTACATTTTAATTTATTTTAGTTTTTTTTCAATTTAACTTTTTTTATATTATACTTCGTATAAAACTTATGTAAGTTTTATAAAATTTAAAAGTCTATAATTTTCTAATTTTTTTCTAAAAAACCCATCATAGCATGTTAAGATGACTAGACTGATTGTGTTTTAAAAGTAAGCATGCTTATATGATACTACCTCCGTTTCGGCGGCCTAAGGTTCCCATGACAAAATGACACGGTTACTTAAACAATAATTAATAAGGTAATTTGAGTATATTTTGAGAAATATTTTTGATGGGTATATAATATAATGAAGTCATTGATGATAACCGTGATGTTATAGATGTATTATTTTCAATATTTGATGAATAAATTATCATTTAAGAGTGCTAATTATTTCTTAAAATAGAAATAGAACCTTTAGGTGGGACGTTCAAAAAAAGAAAATGAGAACCCAAACTGTAAAGGGGTCATTAGTTTATAGTATAGAGACTCGTTAGATAGATTTGAAATAACTATTTACGTAAACTCTTTTTGGCATCGATATCGTGGATCGGTTCATGTTAGTCGACCTCGAAATCTTTTGGGATTAAGGCTTGAATGTTGTTGTATAATTATTTACGTAAAATATTTTTTTTTATCAATGTAACCATGTTTAATTAGTTTTAACGTTAGGGGTTGCCATTATAGTATTTAAAAACATTTCATACTCCTTCCGTCCCTTTTTATTTAGTCAAACATTATTTTCCAAGTCAATGATGATAAACTTTGACCGATTATATATTTCTACACGGTAATATTAATGATATGAAAATGATATGAAAATGTTCTTTGTTAAAAATACTATCATAAAAGTATAAATTTATTAAGTTTCACATAAATATATTAGTTAAAATAATGGATTAAAGTTTATCATCTTTGACTAAAAAAGTCAAAAATACTAATAAAAAAGGGGACGGAGGTAATATTTAACTATGAATCGCCATACTATTATAGTATTATGTTTTATCAATGTTTATTAGTCATTGATAAGACAAATAATTAAACATTTATTACTATCTTCCAACATATTTTCACTTCTTTCTAAAGAAAATACTCGTACTTGACTACCTAGTATTTCACACTATTATTCTTGTGAGTGTGTCGTCTATATTTATTTTTTATGGACTTGAATTATATTTTTTATTATTTTTAATATCTTTATTGTTGATTTATTAAAACCTGTTTTTGCTACATCACTACATCAGTCAATACAAACACAACGTATGAACAGTTGATTAAAAATTTGTTTTTTGCCGGACATAATAACAACATCAAGTACTCTAATTTTAGTAATTCAAGGCATAAGTAAATAATCTAATAGGCTATATGTTTTATTTATATAAATTTATGACATTAATTTCACTACACCTATTGTTTCTAAAATTAATTACTTCCACTATCTCAAAATGAAAGTTCCATTGTCAATTTAATTTTTTAATAATAATAAAATTAATCCGACCCTTACAATATTGCAATGAAAACAAATAATCAGAATTTGCATATTTAGATATTATACTTGAAGTTCTCCTAACCCACAAAAAATATATTTCCATATGGTAATACTTGACCCATAGAATTAGAGATGAAAACTGAGCTGATATTTTTATTTTAGGACTTGGAAAAAACATAACACTTCTAACAATTTTGAATAATTAATTTTGACGGTTAAATATGCACAAACCTTACATCTAGAATAGCTATTGACAATCATCAAAAAAAAAAAATAGCTATTGACAATTTTTACTTGATAACGTGTAAGGGACATACGCCTTCTAGAATGGTTCTCTTTTTTGTCAATAGTCAATACCATCAACATTAAACTATTATTACTACTACGTATTATACTCGCAGCTCTTCCTCCATTCTTCACAGTATCAGTTCTTACCTCTTTGTTACCCAGGTCTCAGCTCCGTGACAAGCTAAGGAGGCCAGGGAGGTTGACGTTATGGAGGCTTTGTTCCAAGAATTCATTACCTCATCAAATGAATTAGTCTACAGTCACTCCTCTGCCCCACGGGATCCGAGACTTGTAAGTGAACAAAGATTCGCCAATCCTAGTAGCAGTTTTTCAGTACCCAAATCTGCTACAACAGAAGATCAGGAGGAAGAAGACTACCCAAATGCAACTTTAAATTACATAAGCGAGATACTAATGGAGGAAGAAGACTACCCAAATGCAACTTTAAATTACATAAGTGAGATGCTAATGGAGGAAGAAGACCTGGAGAAGCAGCCTTTCATGTTCTGGGACTCCATGGCTCTCCAAGCTACTGAGAAACATTTATCTGATGTGCTAAACGGAACCGACAGCCCACCCAAAGGATTCTCACAGTGCAGTCATCTCAGTAACTCTTTGTTGAGTCCATTTGATGGCCAACATGATTTATTATCTTTGGCAAACGGAGGAGTGGAGGAGACCGATAGGGACCGATCACCTCCAAAAGGAAAACAGAACCACGAATGTCTGTCATCTGATCATGACTCTGCAGAAACCAACCAAAGGAACAAGCACTTGGCGGCAAGTTATTTGAGAAAATTGGAGCCGCTGGATGATATGTGCTACGATGTCTTGCTTGATCCAGTTGGCAGAAACACTGCTGCCTGTACCTACAAGAAACTAGAAAACACAGAACCCAGGGCGGGAGGAATAACCCCATGTGGCAAGAAGAGACCACAAATGGAAAAGGAATTCATAGATTTCAGCGGCTTACTCACCCAATGTGCAAAGTCCTTAGCAATTTATGACACCAAGGCGGCTATCGAGGCTCTTGAGGAAATAAGGCTACACTCTTCTCCTTATGGAAACGGAATAGAAAGGACGGCATTCTATCTTGCCAATGCGCTCGAGGCACGCTTAAATGGAACTGGTACATCACTGTACGTATCTAAACATTTCAACAATATCCCAGCTGCAGATATCTTGGAAGCTTTTCAGATGTATATCAAAGCAAGCCCCTTCGACGTAGTATCAATTATGATGTTAAACAAATGCATAATGAAGCTTGCAGCAAGAGCAACAAGGCTGCACATCATTGATTTTGGAATTATGTACGGTTTTCAATGGCCAAGTCTCATCCAAGGTCTCTCGATGAGGCCCGGTGGGCCTCCAGTGCTTCGCATTACTGCGATAGACTTTCTGCAGCCTGGTTTTCATCCGGAAGAGCTGGCCAATGTCACGGGCCTGCGACTGCAAAACTACTGCAAAGGATACAACGTCCCGTTTGAGTTCAAATCTGTAGCAAGGAAATGGGAGAGTATAACACTGGAAGACCTTGATATTGATAGGGATGATGACATCCTGGTTGTCAACTGTTTGAAAATGCTAGGAACGGTGCCAGATGAGATACTGGTGCCACATGATAGCCCACGGGACATTGTGCTCAATCTGATCAAGAACATTAATCCAGATATGTTCACCCACGGGATTATGAATGGGGCCTACAACAGCGCGTTCTTTGACTCACGATTCCGTGAGGTACTGTTTCATTACTCCTCACTGTTTGACATGTTTGATGTGACTGTGCCAAGTGAAGATAAGGACAGGTGGCTGTTTGAGGAAATGGTGTTTGGAAGAAGTATGCTGAATGTGATCGCCTGTGAAGGAGAGGAGAGAGTCGATAGGCCAGAGACATACAAGAACTGGCAAGCTCGAAGCCTTAGGGCTGGACTCCAGCAACTACCACTGGATCAAGAGATTGTCAATTGTGTGAGGGAGAAAGTGAAATCTGATTACAATAAGAATTTTTACATGGAAGAAGATGGGAACTGGTTGTTGCAAGGATGGAAAGGAAGGGTACTGCAAGCTATCTCCTTTTGGAAGCCTAATAACAACTAGTGGAATAGTTTGTCTTAATCTGGAATAGCAATGTCTATTATTCTTAGTTTCTTACTACTATCTTTATGATTCATTCCAGTCAATTTTATCATTATTAACATTCCTATATAATTAGTTATCATAAGATGGTCGTATAAGGTAGGAATTGCTAACATTTGGAACATCCAAAAGCCAAGGAACTCGATCAAATTACACACTATATGCAAGTTGATAACTTTGTCTTCTACAAGCCCAGAAAACGGAAAAGATTCTTAGGCCTAACATAATTCAGACATATATATTACGATTGACACAGCTTTAAAATGCATAATAATCAACCAAAGATAGCTTTGTTTTCTGAAACTGCAGAAAGTTCAGAGCAGAGTTAGAGAAGCTTAGATGAAGAGAATTAGGGGGTGTTTGGAACTGATTCTGCTTCTGCTTCTTTTTTAAAAGCAGAAGCAGAATCAGAATCAGTTTTCAGAAGCTGGTACCCTCAGCTTCTAAAAAAACTGATTCTGAGAGTAATTAGATCTCCAGAAGTACTTCTGGAATTTCACCCAAACACTCCAGCTTCTGCTTCTGCTCCCTGAAGGAGCAGAATCAGTTTTGAGAATCAGATCCAAACACCCCCTTAGTCCCAATTTAGTCATCACTATAAGACAAAAAGATGAGGTGAAGATAAGAAAGCAAATCAAAGCCTCTAGTATGTACTCAGTTTACGAAACCACTAATAATAGTAGATCAGAAGCAACCATGGTACCAAATAAATCATAATCGGTCAAGAAATCATATTATGAATATGATCCTTGATGTAAGGTATGACCCCATAACTGATGATGGTTAGAAGAAGTTGCATGCAGAGCATCAAGCTTCAAAAAAAGAAAAAGACAAATGAAGTGAAGGAAAAATAGCAAAAAGAGGACAGTCAACACGACACCACATGTTTTAGAGTTATAGCACTACCAACACACTAGCAGTCTAGCACTGATAATTGGTTAATAAAGAAGCATGTCAAGGGAAAACTTCCCAAGAACAAATAGAATTAGCCTTTTTTATTTTGATGCTTTGGTGGCCTAAGAACACTCAAATCCAAGTTTTCACACTTTCGTTGCTTCTCGTACTTGTTGTTGCCACTGGAAAATGGCCCCTCATAAACATGCACATTTTTATGTGTTTTGTTCGGAAAATGGACATCAGAAACAGTGGCTTCTTGTTTCCTCTTGTAATCTCCTGTATGTGCTTGTGTTGTTAAAATTTGATGAATTCTCAGGAGCATCTCGACTTAAACCCATTTCTCTGGAGCAATCAAGAATATGTAATCTTATAACAAAATTAAATTTTTATTAGAAAGTTAAAGTAATCTCATATTATGTAAATGAAGCTCAGAAGGAAATCCAGGTACTACTTGGCCACCTGGCCAAATAAAAGCCATACAACTCAACACTCAAGAATAGATCAAGCTTGATCTTTGAAGTTTTTAAATGATTGCCAAATTGATGTAATGACACCATACCCCATATTTAGGCTTCATACTAAATAAAATATTTGCATTATGGTTAGGGAAATCACTGTGTAATTATCAAGCAATAATGATGAAACCATTATTTTTTGAAATAATTACAAATTTAGGACTAAAATAAAGGCTGTTTATAAAAATAATTAATTCCACTTTTGGTCCTATGAGTTTGATGTCAATTCCACATTTAGTCCACGCCTTTCACTTTGTCCACTTTTGGTACTTGACTAATGTTTTTTTACCATTGATGATCCTTTTCCGGTAATTTTAACCACCGAAAACATTGACGGAAGGACCATATATGGGCGAAAACACAATAGTCAGGTACCAAAAGTGATCAAAATCAAAGACGTGGACCAATTGTGGAATTGGTGCGATACTTGTAGGACAAAATGTGGAATTCTTATAAAAAATGTGACTCCTTATAAATGTAGTGATAGTCATAATAACTTTTGTTCAATTTTTACACTTAAATAACCATGACACAATTCTAGTCATACTCCCTCCGTCCCAAAAAGAAGTTCCCGGTTTGACCTGCACACATATTTATGTAAAATAGAGTTTTGTTTTGACTTTCCAAATATACCCTTGTTTTATGTCAATTCAAGCAAAAAGTGGATAAAAAGTCGGGGTAGTTGTGGCTTTTTGGTTAAAAGTTGTTTCCTTTTATAAAATGGGAACTTTTTTGGAACATCCATAAAAGGAAAGTGCGAACTTCATTTTGGGACGGAGGTAGTAGTAATTTTAGTTATATTTTTCAAAATAAGTATTATTTCAGTAATATTTTTGAAAAAAAAACTCTTATTTTTTAGTTTTATTTTATATACGAAAAATCATTGTTTAATAATCAAGTAATAATGATGAAAACATTATGTATACAGTTAACCTAAAGATTGACTTGCTTATTAGAAAGTATTTCACTTGTTCCAGAAGTTGTTTCGGAGGCTTGCATGTAAGCAGACAGAAAGCCAGAAGAGTGAACTTAGAGAAACTTGCCAAAATATTTCAAGTCATTCAAACCTCAAACTCACATCAATAACAGGGTTAAAATTTTGGAATGACATCCGGCCCTTTCTTGCCCCAGGATGAGGATCACCTTCCATAATAACCACACTGGAATAGGAAAGACATGAGAGTTTCATATGAACAAAAAAAAATGGAATTGAAACAATCGGAACCAAGAGAAAAAGCCTGGGAACTGTATTACTTAAGGGATATAATTTTTATATTGATATGCCCATCAAGATCTAAATACCATGTACTGCTTCCAAAAGAATAGCGCGACTTCCTCATTGTGGGATAGAGTGCACAGGACAGACTCCATGAAATGTTTTTAATTCTTTATAGCATTGCATATTGCAGTACACATAAACATTAAACAAATTGTCCAATCTACTAGTTCCCATGTTATACAACACATTCAAATAAGAACTAAGAAGCCAAGCTAAAAAATACTCATTAATTAGAGCCCCAATAATAGAATTTCTGTCTAAAGCAATCCCTCAATCTGCCAACAATCCCAATGACCAGTTGAAACCCCCAATCCACTACTCCTAAACTGAGAAATAGAATACTTAAATGGTGAAAACTGAAAAAGAGTTTGATGCCAATAGAATCTCAAAGGGGAAGACTAGATAGACACAATCAAACACTATGATACTTTGACACTATATTGTTTACGCTTCAAAGTAAGATCAAATATCGATCTATGTATATGCAGAAGAAAGAATTGCCATCTTTTGGGCGCAATTGAAGAAGTAATGTTACCATCAGGCATCCCGAGCGGAAGACTAGATAGATAGTACAATGCTATGATACTTTTAGCCAGTGTGATGATGCTGAAATAGATAATTCGGCTGAATTTGATGAAATTCTGATTGAATTGACTACATTTGCTGAATCATAAAAAAATTATATTTAAACTATATTTTATTAATTAAATAAGAAATTATTATATGAAGAATAGTCTTATGCAATCAATTCAGTCAGAAAAGTAACTTCTTTCTTACTTATTTTGATTATTAAATAATTCAGTACACAAAATCAAATGTTTAATGTTTGTAAATAAAAAGTTGGTGCTGTTAAGATGAAAATAGAGGCCACCAGACGGACTATTTGACATTATCATTATGAAATTTTATCGATCCAGGACCTGAAAGATAAAGTGTATAGGGCCGAATGATTGAAAAATATCAATTTAAAACCTAAAATATCATGAATTTTAATATTTCTTAATTTAAATAAAAAAATTATGATAAAGCGACTTTTACTAATATAGAGAAAGCATGCAAGACAATATCCACACAGCTATTACAGATTCAATCGTAAGCCCTGCGAATAGACATAGAGTCAACCACTCATACAAAGTAACCTGACTCGCTAGCCACAAAACGGGCAAGATTAAGCATAAAACGACCGAAAATGAAGCATTGTCTATAAAAAGATCTTCAAAAATCAAAATACTCCAATCATATTTGGTCGAACTGAAATAAAAACAAGTATTACTAAAGGGAAAATAATACAAAAAAAAAAGTTTCCCAAATTGTTTCCTAAATGGAGGTGGTTTCGGAGGAGGACGAGCTGCCTTTTCCAAATTTCTTTTTCAGTGAATAGAATTTTGACCCCTGAAAAATTCATCTCAAACCCTATTCTCCATGCACCATCGGCCGCATCTTCATCCTCCATAGTCAACGTGTAGTACGGCTCCTCAAGTTTCTCCATTGAAATCACCAAAGTCTGCCTACGAACTCACTGCCCTACTTCAGCGTCTTCGTCTGATAAAACTAATAGTCGAACAAACTGTCGGTTGCAGGCGTTAAACCACACCGGAAAAAACAAACCCTAGAAAACCCTAGGGTTTTCTTATGAATGTCTTGCACCTACATCAACGATGAGGACAAGAAATCTAGAAGAAACAACCCAGAGAAGAAGACAACAATTGTGGCTGGTTCGACTTTGAGGCGGCTATGAAGAGAACCCCTACTGCTGCACTCCTTGTTTATTTTAAAAAATTTAATATTATTTAATCTTGCTAAACTAGTACTCCGTAAAATTTTGTGAATAAAAAACAACAAAAATTATGTATGGAGTTAATGAAAAATTAAATAAATCAAAATCAACGATATTTTAGGTCTTTGATTGATAGTTTTCCATCATTTAGATCCTATACAAACACACTTTATCTTTCAGTCCTGGATGGATAAAGATAAAATTCCATTATACCTCAAAATAAGATCAAATATCTATCTATGTATATATGCAGAAGAAAGAATTACCATCTTTTGCGCGCACTTAAAGAAGGTATAGCAGGCATGTCATCTTCAGCTTCCTTGGCTTTTTCCTCTCTGTTGTCTGATACTCTTTGCATAAACTGCAATAAAGGAGACAACTTTTTGGATTTAGCAAGCAACTTATTAAAAACTATCTTGGAGGCAAATAGTTAAGCTCACAAATCACAACTTATGAAGACTATACAACAACTACCAGGCCTTAATACCAAATCGATGGAGTTAGCTATACTAACCAATACAAATTCCACCGAGTGCATCTTCTGAAATCCTATTTCCATTCCTTTTGTTTTTGTACTAAGCTCAAATTCCAATAAAAAGACTATCTTGGAGTACGTTGTCTACCATAAGAATCTGTAAAAAAGGACTCCAAATTATGAGTAATTACTAAGGATGGCAATGGGGGCGGGGGCCCGTGGGGAACCGCCCCGTGGGGGGGAGTTGGGGCGGGTGGTGGGGTGGGGTGGGTGGTGGGGTGGGGGAGATATTTTCTCCCCGCAAAAATATGGGGCGGGTGATGGGTTATGCACCCCCGCCCCGTCCCCGCCCCGTCCCCCGTAATAATTAATAATAATAATCTCAATAATAATAGTAATAGTAATACTAATACGAAGTAATTAAAATAGCATGGTGGTCCGGTGGGTTTAGTGGTTTCCTATCTAATGGATTGTGCGTAATGGATCTATCTAATTCTTGTTTAATAACTAAGCTATCTTGTAAAATTGCTTATCAAAATCATAAAGTAAAATGATTTTTTTAGAGATAAAATAAAATGAATTTGGGAAAGTTATAAAGTGATATTAGCTTAAACGCCTCAGGCACGGTGTGAAAGTTTTTTTCCTTTACTATTATAATGCATTAATTCTTTTCTTTTGAATGTCATCTTTATGATTGTAGTTAGGGCTCTTAAAATTTGGTGATCATATGTCGTCCTAGATGCCGTCAAATGACCATGATTGATTGAATGCAGGGTTTAAGAAAATATTATAGAGCTAATCAATGCTAATTTAGAGTTTGATAAAAATTACTAATTTAGAACGCGTATAATGTGTTCTAGATTTGAAATGGGATGTAAGATTACATTGACACTTCAAAAGTAAAAAAAAAATTGGCTACTAGAAGTGTTGTTAAATTTTTGAAAAATTGTCAGTGTCTAAAATGATGTTAATTTTTGACGAGTACTTCCCCGTTGGGTACCCGTGGGTCTAGCGGGTCGGGGCGGGGATGGGGCGGGTCGAATAGTAGTGGGGGATGGGGCGGGGGTGGGGGCGATTTTTTAGACACGGGGTGGGGGATGGGGGAGTGAACCCCCGCCCCAACCCCGCCCCATTGCCATCCCTAGTAATTACTGGATTGAATTAAGTAAACCACTCGAAATCATTCAACTATACCATTATATGAATAACCTCCCAGATATGAATTCTTCTCGGCCAAAATTAAATTTACCTTCAAGTTTTTTAAAGTACTGGATAGCTCGCGCTTGGCCATTCTGATCTCCCGGCACAAATGAACTTTCCCGGACTCCTTTCTTGGTTGAAAAAGGATTGGGGTACACACTTTTTGTACACAAAAAGTGTACGCTCGTCTGTCCCCGACAGACAAGTTGTCTGTCGCGAGATGAGTTGTCTGTGGGACAGACAACTCATCTCGCGACAGACAACTTGTCTGTCGGGGACAGACGAGTGTACACTTTTTGTGTACAAAAAGTGTATACCCCTAGCTCCACCCTTCTTGGTTAGGACTAAAAACAGTCCAAGAGACATGACCATTAGCCATACGATGGTCTGGTCTGGTTTAATGTGTTTAAGTCTGGTCTGATTTGATCTGATCTGCTATGCTCTAATCTGATCTGGTTTGGGACTAAAAATCATCCAAAAAAATCACCCTTGGCCATTTCAAGAAACTATGTCATTTCTATTTAATGTAATGAATATATGGTTAAATTAATTCAACCTTCCTCTAATCTGCATAATTTTAACCACACAATCTTGACTTTATTATTTCATGTGAAAGTCAATTTTGGCCAAGCTTTGTGAAAGGGATGGTGTAATAATAGATAGATAACGAGTATGATATAATTAATTAATTAAGTGAGTAATCTTTTTTATATTATTAGTAATCGATGACATGAACAATTATATTTAGTATTTTTTGTAACCGGATTTATCACGCTTGAATATAATGTAATATTCTATACTTTTTTAACAAAAATCTGAACGTTTCGTCATTCTATCTTTATTTTTGTATCTAAATGAATTCTTATTTTTTTATGTTTCTAGATTTCCAATTGTTATATTTATATATAATGCATTTTTAATGTGTTATTTATAGGTTGTAACTATTAATTACATATTTACATAATCTTTAATCTATTATTATAATTATAGAGTTTTAAATGCTTCAATAAAAGGCATTTGCAGACTTGTAGAAGATATTAAAATCATCCATGGCGCAAAAAGAAAGAATGCTCCATGGAATATTTATTGTATAAATTGAAGCAAATTTGTTATCGTTTGGTTTGAACGATGCTCGTGTCTTGCCAGATTCTTGGAAAAATAACATAGCATATGGTCTTGAATCGCCAAGAACTGTGGCATGGGTAATAAACTGATAATGAATTTTATCATTTAACCTTGTGGCCTAGGTAAACCAGCATGAGCAAATTAACACAATATTTTCTTATACGGAGTATTAAATATGTATCTGCATTTTAATTACTTTTTACGGTGTGTTGTTGTGGTAATTGCACATTTACGATGCAATCATTTTATTTTTCTAGTTTGTTGTAATTTAGTAAATTTAGAATCATCATGAGCAAGAATCAATCAAGAATCAACAAAGGATCATGGAAGGGATCTTAAGGAACAAAGGAAAGTGCAAGGGAACAAGAAATCATGCAAGAAATGTGATTTGGTGACTTACCCGGTCGGGTATAGCCTTTACCCGGTCGGGTATGAAGTGACCCGGACAAAAAGGCGTGCCGGAAACACAAAATCGTGGTCAAAATATTTGATTTTGACAAATACCCGGTCGGGTATCTAAAAAACTCGGCCGGGTATCCAGCCATAGGTGTTGAAAACACCTATAAATAGCCCCATTTTCCTTCACTTTTAATCCTTCCTTCTTCCATACTCTTAAACTCAGTTTAGAATAGTATTTCTTTTATATTTTTATAGCATGGGTGTTTAGTCTCTGATGTGAGTTTTCTCGCACTTAAAATAGATCGTAATATAGTGGTGTAAGTACGAGTATCGTCTCCACAGGGACGGACAAAAGGGAATCAAGAATTAATTAAATTCAGCGATTAAAAGAAATAAATAAAATAAATGCGTCGTGCGAGATATGATTGGTATGAAAAATTAAAATGCAACTAAACGATTAAAATAAATGGGTTCTTTCTAATTAATGACGAAGGGAACATGGATTGATTCCGAGGTAACCAGATTTCTGGCAGATCAGGCCTAATTACATGAAATTAATTCAATTGAGCCTAGCTAATCATTACTAAGTTCTTACCGCTCTCGCGGCGTAGAGTACAATAATTTAGGGGACCAGGCTGATCTCTCATGTGACAGGATCCTAAATTATTGCCAAGACGAGCAAGCTTACGGTCCCTTAATCGCTACTAATCTCTTAGCGAACGATTAAGTGTGTGTGAATGTGTCCTAGAATAAACTAGATCTCTCTTAATTTATTCTACAAGCAATTGTAATTCTAGCGCGCGTTCTAGGTTACAAAAGATATCAATTAAATTATTCAAACACAAATTAAACGGCATTCATGCAATTAATAATAGAGTAATTAATACCCATTAATTAGGTTTCCATCTTTATGTAGTTTCCTAATGTATTCAGGACATATTTTTATTATATATATGACACCTAGGGCTACCACATTGGTAAGCCTTCTCATTATTCTCACATGGTATCAAGAGCTCTAGGTCTTTAGCCATTAAATATTTTTTTTTCGATGGCCTCTCCACCTACAACCGCCGCCGCCACCGAGACAATAGCCGCCTCCGCCGGGTTAACCACGGCGGATGAGACGCCGGTTTTGAGCGCGGCTCAACAGACGCGACCCACCATCTCAGCGCCGCCGCAGACGTCCATCATTACAAACGATGTTCCGGTCTCGCCGCTTTCTTCTTCGTGGGTACCGCCTGTTTTTACTTGGACTCCGACGCCACCAACGATGCAGCCGCCTATGCCGCCGCTGTTTCCAGCCGACTCGCACGCCGAGTCAAGTGCTGCCGGTGCTGCTCGAGCCAGATTCGCCGGTCCCACACTATCCGGCAGTCCCGGGTTGTTCATGCCACAACCGACTGGGCATATTGGGCATCGCCCGGTAGATAATTCTCTTCCTGTTTCTTATGCTACTTTGGCTCAAGGTATGACTTTTGGAGCCTCAATTACACAAATTGTGACCTCCAAATTGCTAAAAGTCGAAGATTATCTGCCCTGGCGAACCCAATTTGAGTCTTTTCTGGTGGCCAACGGTCTTTTGGGCATTCTTGATGGGTCTCTGCCACCTCCGCCTCTGTATATCTATGATTTATATCAGGCTCAATCTATTAATCCTGAATATCATCATTGGTTGAAATTGGACCAAACTGTGCGTGCTTGGTTATTTGCTACCCTATCCCGTGAAATTTTGATGGAGGTTCATACCTTGAAAAATTCTTTTGCTATTTGGGAACGATTGGAGTCTCGATTCATGGCTGCCAGTCTTGCTCGCGCCATGGAGTTGAAGCAGATGTTGTCTCACACCAAAAAGAAGGAGAATCAATCCATGGAGGAGTACGTTCGTGGAATTCAAACTCTTGCTGATAATTTGGCCTCCATCAACTCGCCGGTCTCCAATGCCGATCTCATTCAATACACTCTTTTAGGATTGGGACCAGGATATGAATCACTGGTTGGACCCTTGACCTTGTTTCCTGAAGGGCTCACTTTTGACAAATTGGGTACCAAATTGGTTCATCAAGAGGCACGTCTACGCTACCAACAGTCCCTGGAACCGATGGCTAATACTCCGGCTTTCGCTGCACCTTCCTCGGCAGGGGGTGGACGTGCCGGCTCTTCCTCCAGCGATCCACAGCAGCAACAGCCCGCTCGAGGAGGACATGGCGGTCGACGCGGAAACCGAGGCCGTGGTCGTGGCCGTGGCCGCGGCAGGTACCAGCAGCAGCAGTCCGGGTACGGCCAGCCTCCGGCCTACTACGGTCAGGCTCCGCCACATCCACAGCAGTCATTATCCGGCCGAACGCCTCCTCCGCCAAATCATTGGGGTCCTGGTACAGTTTTATGTAATACGATTGAGTCATCGTTTTCTACTCCTGCTCTATCGACTTTTTGTACTAATTATGCTTCTGCAGGATCTTCATCTTTTGAGAATAATTTTGGTTCAGTTCCTCCACCTGTCGTTTGTCAAATTTGTCACTCTCCAGGCCACTCAGCTGTTTCATGTCCATCTCGCTTTGTTCAAACTCCGACTCCTGCACTTGCTGTCTCCACGGGTGAATCCACTCCAGCTGTTTGGTATCCTGACTCAGGTGCTTCCGCTCATATGACCCCAAATGAAGGTATTTTGCATAATAAATCTGTCTATTCTGGACCACTCAAAATTACAGTTGCTAATGGCTCTAATCTTCCTGTTATGACTACTGGTAATTTGCATTTAGCTACTAAACCACGGCCTCTCCATTTAAAAACGGTTTTTCATGTACCTAATCTTAAATATAATCTTCTATCCATCCAACGATTGTGTGCTGATAATAACTGTTTTGTGATTTTTGATAAAAATTCTGTCTATGTCAAGGACACAATTTCGGGGAAGGTGCTCCTCCAAGCTTCCAGTAATGGTGGCGTTTATCCTATTTCTATCACTCAGCCATCCTCAGTTGCTCTTAGTTCTCAAGCTGCTCCCGGGCCTATTTGGCATCGTCGTTTGGGCCATTGTGGAAGTCGCATTTTAGATAGATTAAAAAAATCTGACAGTGTTCTTAGTACTTCTAATTTTTCTCATAATTGTATTTCTTGTCGGTTAGGAAAATCATAACGATTACCGTTTCAAGAAGTGTGGCATAAATCTACTACTCCTTTGTTTTTAATTCATTCTGATGTTTGGCAGTCTCCTGTTCTTTCTTCAAGTGGCTTCAAATATTATGTTTTATTTATTGATGATTTTTCCCGTTTTACTTGGCTTTATCCCATGCGCAATAAAAGTGAAGTGGTGAGACACTTTCAGCATTTTAAATCTATGGTGGAAAATTTACTTGATGCTAGAATTAAAATTTTTCAAAGTGATGGAGGGGGTGAATTTGATAATCATGCTATGCGCGAAATTTTTACCAAAAATGGTATTTTATTTCGTAAATCATGCCCCGACACTCCTGAACAAAATGGAGTAGCTGAGCGCAAACACCGGCATATACTTGAGTTAACTCGCACTATGCTCTTTGATGCAAAGTTGCCAGCTAATTTTTGGGTAGATGCTGTGTTTACCGCAATTTTTATCATTAATA